GGTGTCCATATGGCTCCCAGTGTTCCCACGGTCCCCATTGCGGTGGATAAGGTGGAGGTGGGTAAGGCCAGTATGGGTGCCATGGGCTATGTTGTGGCGGAGCCCTATAATGATGGGAGCAAGCCTTCCCAGGTGACGGATGTCGCAAGGAATAGACCGTGCGGTGGTCATCATCAGGAAAGGGGGCGTCCTGAAGAGACAACGGTGATATCGACCTGGGAGGGGATTGCCTTGATGGAGACCTCCCAGGAGAGTAAGAAGTAGAGGGCAGGCACGGATAGTGATGCCTGCTGTGTGGATCAGTCTCTTGCTGGGGCTGATTCCCAGCAGCCTCATTTGGCTGCTTGTCTGGCTGAGGCAGGACCAGCGGAGCATCAGCTGGTGCCAGTGGCTTCGGAGGCTGCCCATCCTTTTGCTGCGGTGCCGTGACTTTGAGACACCGCAGCTTTAAGCCGTGGTGTAGCTTTCAGCGCCGCAGAGGCTTGAAGCGGCGCCGGGGCTGGAAGTGGTGCCGCGCTTTGAAGCAGCACCGCGGTTTGAAGCCGCGCCTGCTTTTCATGCCGTGCCAGCTGCTTAGAGAGCTCCCGGGGCCTCTCAGCTGTTCAGTGCCCCGATGCCGGCGTGGAGTGGGAAGATCGCCCCGAAGCCTTTGTGGCGGGCGTCCTCCCAGTCTGGTGTGCCTCTCCTCCATGTTTAGGAGAGGAGGAGGCTGATAAGGAGCGGGTTCTTGCCGCGCTATAGATTGTTCCCACGCAGGCTGTAAAGTTTTTTCAAATAAAATCATTCTGAGGTTGAGCTCACAGTCTTTTCTGGCTCTCGCGGTTAGGGAATTGCAGTGGGTACAGTTGTGGGGAGAGTGAGTCTCCCCCAAACAACGTATGCAGTCCGAGTGACCATCTGAAGCCGGCATTGGGTCCTGGCATTGACCGCACTTTTTAAAACCTGAGGAGCCGGACATTGCGGGCTCTCTCCTTGTTGAGATTAATATAATTATCTTCTATTTTGTTATAGTTTATGTGGTTTTGCTTCTTTTTTTTTTTTTTTTTTTTTAATGTCTTTGTGTGTCTTGTTTTGACAAGCGGGAGAACGCTGGTTCACCGGAGTCCCGGTCTGAGGTAAGTTCAAGCCCCCTGAGGGGGGGATTTAATTAAGTCTATTTTTCCTATTTCTAGTTTTTATATATAAAACAAGGAAAGAGTAACTTGAATAAAACAGGGGAAGCTAACTATGCCTAAATAACTAAGGGGAAAATAGTCAGTCTGACAGGGAGCTCCTGGCTGCTCCGTCCGCTGACGAGGGCGGTTAAAGAGGAACTGAAAGGGAGGGGGTTGAGCCACGCGCTCCTCACGAGGCTGGAAGGGCTCGAGACGCCTCCTGGGCATGCGTGGCTCAACAGGGGAAACTGCTATACAAAGCTCCGATCTGTGGCTCAGGGCAACCCTTCACCTACAGTGGAGCACCCACGGGGACACTACTCGAAGATGAACAGATATTAGACAGGATCACAAAGAAACAACAGTTTCTTGCCATTTCAACCAGAAAGGACACTGTCTCAATGACTTAATTACCTGCATCCTGCTTCAAAGACCTTTTAAGACTGCACTTGAAAGAGAATCCTCTGAACTGTTATTCATGCTTAAATTCAACACTTTACACCTGAGTCTGAATAAAAAATCTAATTAGCTTACCCATTACAAAGATAGCTTCCCCAATTATCACCTCTAATATCATTAGCTCACAGACATTTACCTTCCCCCCCTCACCATCCCCCTTCTGTTCTGAAATTTGATTTGTCCTTTTCATATGTGTTCATTTTTTTTTAAATTGTATCCTTTGGTATATATGGTTGTGACAATTTTCTTCCACTATTTGATCTGAGGAAGTGGGTCTGGCCCACGAAAGCTCATCACCTAATAAACCATCTTGTTAGTCTTTAAAGTGCTACATAGTCCTGTCTTTTGTTTCAGCTACACCAGACAAACACGGCTACATTTCTATCAATAAAAATTAGTTACCTGCTGCCAAATCAATATCATATTCCTACCCAGGTCAGCTTATCAAACTTTTCTGTATATGCCACAATTAGCTACGTTGGACAATGTTGCGATTCAACAGCTAAAGTGGTTACCAAACAATGTGACACACCAAAAAACTTTCCCTGAGGATCAACACCAGTTGCACTGTGATCAACACTCATACTCTGAGCTAGGACCTGGAAGGTACTGCCAACAGATGGCTGGCAGGTGGTGGTGTTTAGAAGAAACAGACCAAGTTATTGTGCACGTGCTGGGCACCAGGGTGGTCTTGGGTGGCAGGCCACACATAAGAATGGCCATACTGGGCCAGACCAAAGGTCCATCTAGCCCAGTATCCTGTCTGCCGACAGTGGCCAATGCCAGGGAATGAAAAGAACAGGGAATCATTAAGTGATCCTGTAATCCAATTCCCAGCTTCTGACAAACAAAAGGCTAGAGACACCATCCCTGCCCATCCTGGCTAATAGCCATTGGTGAACCTATCCTTCATGAATTTATCTAGGTTAACCCTGTTGAAGTCCTGGTCTCCACAGCATCCTCTGGCAAGGAGTTCCACAGGTTGACTGTGTGTTGGGTGAAGACAGACTTCCTTTTGTTTTCTTTAAACCTGATACCTAGTAATGTCAAAAGGACTGAATAAAGCGGACAGTGCCATAAATGTACAGTAATTCCTCATTTAACACGGTAGATACGTTTCAGAAAATGATCGTGTTAAGTGAAAACGTGTTATGCGGGGTCAATTTTCCCATTGAAAATAATGGAAAAGGTGGGGGTTGCATTTCAAGTGGTGGTTTTGAAGTCAATTTTCTGTTGGTGCTGAGTGGTCAACATTAGACGATGTACTGTACAGTACAGTAAAACTCCCAATAGGGCATCAGCTGGAACCCGGAAGTGCTCCAGTCAGCCGCTCTGAGAGCCCCATGTGCGCTTGCAGCTCCAGGCTGCACTTGTTAGCAGCTGGGACCAGGACATAAGGTTGCGGGAGAAAGGGGACTGGGTTACGGCAGGGAGGGGAGGTGTTTGGTTCTGGGGAAGGGAAGAAGAGGAGAGGGGAGGGGGATTGCATCCAGCGTGGAGGGAAGGGGGGGTCGCTGGGGAACAGCGCGGTGAGCGGCAAACTCTCCGCCGTTTTGCAGGGAGGCGGGGGAAGCCCTGCGCAGCTGCCGGCGACAGGCCGGCTGGGGAAACCGTGTTATTTCGGGGATGGTCGTGTTATTAAAAAAAAAAATGTTCCCCCAAAAAATTGTGCTATCACGAAAACATGTTAAGCGGGCACGTGTTAAACGAGTAATTACTATACATGGCATATTGCAGAACACGGATAAGATGTATTCCTCCCTTAAGGGCAATACAAGGCAACTAAATTACCATAGAACTTGGTTATTTATTCTGAGCATCAGGACTTCTTGTATTTCAGACAAATAGCCTCATTATGCTCTGATTAAAATGTGTCCAATGAAAAGTTGGTTCCTTGCAGGCTATAGTATGCGTGCTTATAGACAGCACGTGGAAACATGGCTTTTTCTAGAGCAAATCCTTAGATCCTCTGTTCATAGAGGCCTCACTTTAGGAAGCTAGCTAAGGTCCAAATATGGCCGCTGTTACCATGGCAATCTGTCCCTGCACAGTCTTTAATGTCACAGCCGCCCTGGGAGGAGGGACCCACAGAGGCCAAGTGGCCTGTTCATAGTCCCACAGGATGTGTGTAGTACCGCAAGGAGCTAAACCCATATCTGCCCAGTCCCGCCCTCACCACTGGACCAGCCTGCCTTTCTTTGAGAGCCCCCTTGAGCACATACTACAGTTCCATTGACGTCAATAAAACAAGAGCCACTGACTCCAGTGGTTCCTGAGCCTGTGCTGGG